GTGCTTTTGGCCACATTGTACTTTTGTTTTTGCAGCTCTGATCTTTCTAACACATCATCAATATTCATAGAATTATTTTTTCTAGTGAAAGGGGTAGAAAAAAAGTGAGAACATATTTTGTTAATGTTTTTTTCTTAGAGGTCTGCTTATCAATCACTATAGCCCAACATTTCCCCAGTTAATAGCCTGTGTCTGCTTTCATTAAAATTGAAAAAACTGGTCTCTTTTTGATTTCCCATATACATACACACACCCCCCTCAGGTTTCCTATTTGTGTGTATCTGTTCTAACATATACCATCAATAACATACCATTTCCTGAAACGAGCTAACAGTTAAGAGTTTGGGGTTTGAAAGACTGCCAGGTACCAAGGTAGAATCCTGGCTCTGCCCTTCACAGCAGTGGTCATAAGCAAGTTTCCTACATTCTGCATACTTCTGTTTATCTGTTTAACGACAATTATAATAGTACCTATATCAGTGGTTTGCTGTTAGGGATAAATGAATTAGTACATATAAAAACTAAAAAATTATGCTTAAAATGCTATGATAATTCATTTAATGTCAGCATCATTATGGTTTATAATCTAACATCTATTGAGATAAATTTCTGTGACTAGCTCTGTCCTTAATCTGCTTGTGTCTTTATGAAGGAATATTTGAGACTGGGTAATTTATAAACAGAAAAGATTTGTTTGACTCACAGTTCTGCAGGCTGTGCCAAAAGCATGGTGCCAACATCTGCTTCTCAGAAGGGCCTCTGACTACTTCCCCTTATGGTGGAAGGGGAAGGGGAGCCAGCATGTGCAAGGATCCCAGGGCAAGAGGGGAAACAAGAGATAGAGGGGAGGGAGGCGCCATGCTGCTTTTAACAACCAGCTCTCATAAGAACTAACAGAGCAGGAACTCACTTATTACTGTGGGAATAGTATCATGCTCTTCATGAGGGCTCCACCCCTGTGACCCAAACACCCGCCATTAGGCCTCTCCTTCAAAACTGGGTATCAAATTTCAACATGAGGTTTGGGAGACAAACATCCAAACTATAGCAATGAAGATATGGAAAAGGTATCTCTTCATACATTTGCTGAAGAGCATGTAAAATTGTACAAACCCTGTGAATGGTAATTTGATAATATCTATCAAAATTTAAAATACATATTTTCTTTATCCAATAATCCTGCTTTAAGGTATTTATCATACAGGCAGATTCATACAAGTGAAAAATATACAATTTGTACCTTTGAAATTTTAGCCTGTGTACGTATAACCTAGTCCAACATTTTGGACTAGGTTATAATAAAGATGAATGAACATGTTTGCTTTTATTCATATCCTTCCCATAGTCCAGCACAGTACTAGGCACAGAGACCCTGACAAGTTCCCTGTTGTTTAGCCCAGCACATGTCCTATGACTCTCTGTGCCCCGTGACCACCTCCCCTACATGTACCACACACACTTTCGAATAAGACACTTCACCCCGATCCACTCGCTTCAAGCCCCATTGTGATGGCCATGTTGTACTTTTTCTTTTTTCTCCTTTGATTTGCCTTCAAAACTGACATCGTTTTTTCATTACAGCTACTTCCTTGGCTTCTCTCCATGACGATTCCTGCCTTGTGGCCCTGGCAATCTTGGGAAGACATCATCCAGTTTCTCCAATCCAGACCCTGGGCTCCCCCTTTCCCCAGCATCACCCCCACCCATCCTGGACACATTGACTGAGCTGTTTTCTAGGACACTGGTGAGTAAAGTGCTTGGCTACTTCATGAAAACAGTTCCAATCATCCCTTCCCAATACCTTGTCCTCCACTTTTGAGCAGGATTTTGTTTCTTTCAGAAGAGGCTCCAATACTCTTCCTTTCTGGAACTGCCTGTCCTGTAGTTAATACCCCAAGGTTCATTATTTATTTAATCACTGACTTATTCAATGAGGTGGTAGCCAGCAGAATCTGAGAACTGAAAGGTGCATGCCTTTATCCTCCTCCCGTGTGGTTCCATTCAGGGTTACTTGTCTCTGACTTAGATTGGAGACTAAATGGATTAGAATAAAACCAATTTGAGGGAAAAAAGAAATGTTCACAGAAACAGAAATAGAGAGTCCTGCTATCTTGACTGCCTAAGATCTGCAGGTCTCACCAAGGAATTTAAAAAGTAATGTTTCTTATCATAAGTGACAGAAATATGCTGCTTTCTGCATCAATAGATACGAAGATTAAAGGGTCTGACCATATTAAACAATTTTGCACAGCACCAGGCACTCTGGGCTGCGCTATCTGCCTTATTACCCTTCATCGTGTGGCTATTTCAGGCCCAATTTAAGAACACAATGCAGTCTGGCTTTGCAAATTGACATCCTTTAATTTAAACTGTCTTGTGGGAGAATTAAGAAATTATGGAACAATTATTCGCCCTCAGTTGAAGGCTGGATGACATCCTGAGATTCTTGTACATTAGCCATTTGAATTGATTAAGTCACGTAATTGAATTACACCTTTGCCCCCATAATATCTTGTGGCAAATATGTTGGTGTTTCTTGTTGGGAAATGCTTCCAGAAAAATAGAATAGGGGTTGGCATTAGAGATTGACCTGGATATTAAAGAAAACCTCAGAGCAAAGTGGGCTGACACTCTGAGATTTTGTGAGGGAGGTTGGTTAACAGAACAAGCGTTCTATTTGGAGTTGCAATGGAAGTTCACAGATCAAAACTGCGCATGATATAGCGTGCATCCTTCCCTAATCTCTCATTGCATTGTCCTTAACATTCGGCTTCAGTGCCTGGCATTCGTTCTCTAAGCTTTTTCTGACATCTCTCGTGGACTAAAACACTAGGTTTGGTGTACCTTCCTTTGTCTTGCATGGTTTTCTAAACATGCCTCCATTATAGTAGCTACCACAATGCTGACAGGGTTTTCTTCACAAGGCAATGAGGCTGGAAACCATGTCCAGCTCAGCTAGGATAGTAATAGTGCTCGATAGGCATTTGCTGAGTGAGGTTTTATTAGTAAGTCTCCATGGTTTAGTCTCTGTTTCCTTTTGTTGCATGGGATGAAAGAAGGTAGAATCTGTTAGTAATGATGTAAGCATCGTTCTTAAGTAGGAGTTTTTTCACTGCTTGTGTTATTAGACAATTTCATAACCGGTTTATGAAAGGCCAACTCTATCTGCTTAAGACCCATGAGGCACCTATTATGTACGAAAGCTAGGCTAGGTGCTGAGGGGAAAAATAGCCAAAACATATTTCCTTTTCTTTAGAGGAGCTCAAAATCCAGTGGGGATTGAAGAGGTCTGTGCAAGAAATAGCTCTGGTGGCTGAACAAGCACGTAGGAGGCTGTTGCATAGTCTGGGAGTCTGAGAAGGGGCCACGGTGCATTCCATTTCATTCCTCTCTGAAGTTCGTACTGTCCTTGCTCTGCCCTGTGCCCCCTCCCACATCGTCCATTTTGAAATCCAGCAGAGAAGAAAACTCTTAGACTAATGTCCTGTGGACAGGCTGGATGTGTGCCTTTCATTTAAAAACTCCTCCAAAGGAGAGAGGTTTTAAAGCACTGTTTCCCCGCTCCCCACCCCCACACTGACTTCTAACTATCATAGTGTGCAGCATTCTGGGTCTTCCTATTCTTTGTCTATTCTGTGTGGCACAAGAATCTCTCTTTTTAAAGGTTCTTTATGTTTTCTTTACCGTTATCAAAGAACGCTCTTGGAGCTTTACAGCCCAACCACAGCTATCTTCCTGAATATTTCTGTGGGGAAGGGATTAATCAAGTCTGTCAAACATTGAGCTGTAAAACCTTTAATATTTCTAAAAGGTTTAAAGCCAGCATATTTATCACATGCATCATTGAGAATAATCTTTCTTTTTATAGAACGAATTAAATGTTCACTGTAAAATATTGTGGTGATGAGCACAGTGGGTGAAAGATGCATGCAGGGGCCCAATGCTATATTGCAATGGAGATTCTGGTTAAATCTTTCCCGGACATCACCTTGCTAGAAGCCACCCATCATCTCCCACACATCTATTTATATGAAAGCTTTATATTGTGGAATTGTAGAATCTTGGTGCTCAAAGGGAAAGAGGCTAATATTTGTTGAGTACCTGCTATGTTATGTAATGCGTCTGCATGCTTTATGTAGGTGTTCACATTTTAATTTTCAAAACAATCCTTTATAATAGGTATTGTCATATCTGATTTATAGATAAGGAAACTAAGATTTGAAAGTGAAGCAATTTTCTCAAGATCACACAAATATTTATTTGCAAATGTGGGACTTGACCCTAAGCCTGGCTAATTCTTTTCTTCTGTTTATGTGGCCAATGCCTAGCAAATGTTTAGCAGAAGGTAGGTACCCACTAACGAGTTGCTAAAGTTATTGTGACTGTTAGCATCAAAGACTCATCAAAGAAATTTTTATTGAAAGATCATTATTCTATAGGCAGAGAGACAGTGAATATTGTTGAGCATGATTCTGGGAATCTGAGATGTGTGTTTTAAGATGTCTAACCCAGCAGTGGTGGTAGCAGTCCTCAGCGTAGGGAGAGACTCACCTGGGGCTTTTGGTTGCTATAACTAATACAAATACTGTATTTTATTTATAAAGTGGTTTCATGTGCACTAATTTATTCTACTCAACAACTTAGCGAAGTAAAGTCAGCACTACTGCCGTTTTACAGATGGGAAACTGAGGTACAAAGACATGCTAAATCATGCCCGGGTCATTCAGCTAGAAGGAACTTATTATGCTCCACTCCAATCTTCTTATTCCAAAGCCACAATCTTTCTACTAATACTTTAAAATGATTTGGTTATTATTCCTAAGAATTTAAAAAATAAAATAAAGAGGTTTTTACATTTTGAAATTTTATTGATATAAAATGTACAATTTCAAAAGAGCACTATACTGGCTGTTTTGATACTGGATTTCAATTTAATACATTGATTTGAAGTCTTTTGCAAACACTATTTTTTAAAGTTTTGTAAGTATCCACATATGGTAAGTTTTTTCAGCTTTATTAGGTTCTAATTGACAAAAATATGAAGTTTTGAAGCTTGCAAGGACCTTAGAGACTGATGACTCTTGTTTTTCGGATTTGATGACTGAGGTGTAGGCATTGAAAGTAGTGTGATAAAGCCCAGCAAATATTGGGTTAACAGAGAACAAAGATACATTCATTCAGATAGGGATGGGTGGTATAAAACCATGGAAGGCTTCCCTGAGGAGGTGACTCTTGATGGTGTCCTGAAAGGAGGAGGATTTTAATAGGGGGAGAAAAGTCAACAAGTGAAGCTAGAACAAAAGAAAGGAATGACAATGTATGAAAATGACATGACAACATGATGGCTCTATAGGCGGGGGCCCTTAGTGGAAGCTCACGTTTGTTGTTTCAGTATAGTTAGTTGTATCATTGGCTTCCCAGACTGCCACATAGGGCTGCACACACATGTAATTAGACCCTTTATAAGCCAGACGGCATCTTCTGCATGCCTCCACTTTAGACCTCCAGCTTTGTAGCACAGCAAGCAACCATAATAGAAGTCCTGAGGCTGGGAAGATTTGCAGTTCCAAACTCACCTCTTCTTTGAGCATATCTCTCTGTGTTTGCCAAATGTTCTGGAGGGGGAAACAGACAAAGGACTTAGAAGGAGGAACGGCTTTCTCTTCTTAGGTTACTGTGAAGACAATGGGCCCATTTCTAGAACTGTTGGATGGGCGAGATGTTCCCCAGTTTACATTTAGCAAACTGTAATTAGCATTAGCAAGAGAAGAGAAATGACTATATTGGGAAACCCCACTTTCCTCTGCACAACAGCCTCTATTCCGAAGGGCTCTTCCCTGTATTTGGGCTTTTGTTATGGGGAAGCAGTGTAAGTTGCCTTGTATAGTTGCAATGGGCTTGTTCTGGGTATAAAGCTCTTAACAGCAGCAGCAGGCAGAGGCCAGTGGATGATCCTCTTCAAATGGCAGAGTGAGTCTTGCTTAGGTGTCAGCCAGGTACAGTCACTGGGCTCTTGTAAGGTTTCATTCATTTCATAAATACATGTAAGCCCACACCTACATAAACCCAACTGTATGCTGAACACTAGGCTTGACTTTTTGGAGCTACAGATCCCCACAGGTCTCTGTGAAAGCACATGCTGGCCAACAGCAGATTAATGACTAGATACACAAAGAGCCATCCGAGGCTTTTTAGTTTGGGGACCATTGAGTAAATCAGACACTCACTGTATTTGTTAGGATGAACAGTGCTAGCTGCCTTAACCAACAACATAATTTTAAAAAGTGCATTATGATACTTAATACAACCATTCAGAAAGCTAGGTTTCCCCCTCTTATTTGTGTCACCATCATCTTCAACATGTGGCCTCTAAGGTCTCTGAAGATGGAGAAAGACAGAGGAAGATCATACTTTGGAGATGTTTAGGGACCATTTCTGGAAATGGCAGACAGACCTTCCATCCATATTCCATTGGCCAGAATTCAGTTATATGGACCAATTTAATTGTTAGAGGAATGTAAATGTAGCTTAGCTATATGCTCAGGACAAAAATGACATAGATGAAGAGATGTCTGCACTCCATGTTTATTTTGGTGCTGTTCACTTTAGTCAAGACAGAATCAACCTAAGTTTTCATCAACGGATGAATGGATTTTTAAAAAATGAGATACAGATACAAAATGGAATAGTATTCTGCCATGAAGAAAGAACAAAATCTTGTCATTCACAGGAAAAGGAATAAGCCTGGGGGACATTACATTAAGTGAAATAATCCGGGCACAGGAAGACAAACACCCCATGTTCTCACTCATATGTGGGGGCCAAAAAAGTTTATTTTATAGAAGTAGACAGAAGAACTGTGGTTACTAGAGGCTGGGAAGGATGGAAGGAGGAGGGAATAGTGAATCTGGTTAATGAATACAAAATTATAGCTAGATAGGAGAAAAAAGTTCTAGAGTTCTATAGCACTGTAGGGTGGCTATAGATATAGTTTATTGCATAATTTCAAATGGAAAGGATTTTGAACATTCCCAACACAAATTAATAAATGTTTGAGGTGAGAAATATGCTAAATACCTTAATTAGATCATTACACATTGTATACATGTATCAAAATACCACTCTGTACCCCATAAATATATACAATTATTGTGTTCTTTAAAAATAATTTTTAGAAAATGAAACAGACATAGTCTTGCCCTAACATGTTTCATTAAACTCAGTTCCCATTCAAACAAATTGAAGACCATCTAAAAGAATTACCATTTATTACCATTTTGAGGAGCACTCCCAGAAGAAATGATCTTCTCGTGTAGAATGGAACTCAACTGGTGAGAATTTAATTAATACAAATTATCTGGAAGTTTCTAAAATGACATCGTAACTCTTCAGTCCAGAATTCTTCTTATGATATTTAATCCTAAAAATAGAAATAACAAAAATTTGTGGACAAAAAATTTATTTCCACATTACTTGCAATTTTGACAAAAGGCCAACAACCTAAATTTCCAAAAATAAGAAAAAGGCTTTACTAAAGTTTTCACACTTGAATAATGCAGTCATATAAAATATATTTCTAAAGAATTTTTCGTGTTATTATATACATATGGACATGAAGGTAGGCTTCAGAACTTTATATACAACAGGATTCCAATTTTGTTCCTAACATATGTTTAGGTGTGTAATTATAGACACCTAAAAAGACTAAAGATAATGCATTAAGTTATTAAGAGTGAACTTCTCTACACAGCAGTATAATAAGGGCTTTTATTTTTCTCTTCTCAATCTGATGCAATGAGTATGAGTAACTTTTGTAAATATAAAAAATAAATCAATGGAGATTTTAAGAAAATGAAGCAGAATGAAGAATGGCTTTGGACTAGGACTGGCTCAGGATAAAGAGAATTATTCCAAGTACCTTAGGTGGGACCAGCCAAAGGGTGTGTGCAAGAATGTCCTAGAATTGTGTCACGTCCAGAGGAGGAGCCACAGGGTGGAGAACAGAGTAGATCACAGTGATCAAGACTTATGCAAATTCAGGGAGCTCACGACAATTTCCTCAGCTAGGCCAGAGGGTACATATCTCAATTTTAGTTGGCTTTCAAAAGTAGGCAACTGAACTGATTAAAAAATTCAAAACTGGGGTGATGGGTTCAAATCCTGGCTCTTCTAATAACCAGCTCTGTGGCTTTGGGCATGTGTCTTAACCACTCTGAAGCTCATTTGTAAAAGAAATAATACCTTATTTATAGTATTGCTGTGATCATATTTTCAAGTTCTTAACACACACACACACACACACACACACACATATTCACATGCACACAGATATACACACATGGCCTAGACCCTTCCCACTAACCTTGGAGGGTTGCACTTTGAGAGAAAGCTCCTTCCTCACTGCAGCTTTTCACAATCCTCTCCATGCTTCATTCCCATAGTACCATTACTAGGACCACCTGAAGTTTTAACACAGAGGCATGTCTTCCCTGTGACCTTCACCTGCAATTTGGAGATATTCCTCTTGGGAAGTTTCTCCCATCTTCTTTTCTTTGTGAGTTCAGCTTGGTTTCTAAGCAATTGAGGCCCACTCTATGTGTCAACTAGGAGAAAGGTGAAACATTCTAAACCAAATGTTCTAAGACAAATACCCTAGCAAAATAATAGAAGGCAAAGGGATTATAGGGTATCATTAGATGTGTCTGGCTAGGAGAGCACTCAGGCTGTGACACTGTACAGTGCTACAGAATCTGAAAAAGGAAATGCAGCCAGAAATGCCGTGACTTCACATCCTGCTGCTTAAACATGAGGTCGTGAATCTTTTTCTCGGTTCTATCTGAAGCCAGCCTCAGCAGCTCATCACAACAATCACGCCAAGTGATGAACACGGATGAGTACCAGGTACTGTGCACAAGATTGTCACACCTGGTACATTGGGCTCTTTCATTGCATTGTGTTTCTTCCAGTGAGAAGAATTTTGGTTTTCTTCTCTGCTGCCTCCTTTTTTCTCCTTCTGGGCATATCTTTATTTATATGGCTACTAAACTGTGTAAAGGTGCGACAGGAGTTCCTAAGAAGGTACTATTCAGATGTGTTATTATGGTTGACTATATCCTCTTTCCCTGCATAGTTGAGGAAGACAGGTTGGCTGATGATCTTGGTAGGTCCTTGAAGATTTACCCTAAAGGTCTTGAGCTTAATTTAAATAATGCTCAGTGACTTGTAACAGAAAAGAGCATGAAAGAAAATTGTTCTGTTTGCAGCCTAGAGACTCTCCCAAATTCTAGGCTGGCCACTGATTTATGCTGCCAAGAAGCCTGTTGCTGATTATGCTGGATGCCCCATAAATTAATGAGAGCTGGACTTAGCAGTGACAACGATCGCTGAGTCTATAGAGCAGAAAATGCAACACTAATACATATGTTTCAGAAATGTCCTTTTGTCTATATGTTTGGAAGAGAAAGTGCTGATGAGGATCAATTTCATATTGACTTTAAATTTTTCATTTGACCCAGAGCTCTTTTTATTAAGTAATGCACACGAGAACATTTCATCCCAGGCCAACTTGATGGCTTGGAGAATTCCCTTCAGAATACAGCAACCTGGATAGAATTTGAAATGCAGTTTATTCATATATTCTTTTACTCATCCTTTAATAATTATTTATTGAGCATCTGCTATGTGCTGAATTCTAAAAACTATGCTAGTCTGTGAGCAAGACACAATCTGCCCTCAAGGACTCTAAAATCTAGTGAGCTAGCAGAAGCATTAATAAACAATCCTGGCCCAGAGCAATATGTTTCATTAGCAGGAAGGGCAGATATACAGGTAAGCAGAGAGGAAGAACTCCCAGAAGGTATCAGGTACTTGGGAAGCATTTAGCTCTTGTTGAAAGAATGAATGAGTGGATGAATGAATGCATGAGACAGCCCTGGAGCTGAGTCACAGAGCAAGGTGGAAATTGACTAAGCTAGAAAATGAGCTATAGTATCATGTTTGACAGCAAGGTGTGATATTTTAAATATAGCTCAGGTGTGAGGGGAAGGAAGCAGGAGGTCGGGCTCCAGGTAGTCAAGAATCAGACATAAACAACTTGGGCATTACATCACCATCTACTTGTGCAAAGAGACGTACTTGTAGATGGCAGAGCAGACCCAAGGAGCCGGTACCTCTTCAGAGGGCAGGCATAACCACACAATAAATGGCTCACTGAGATAATGGCTCATTATCTTCAGTGCTTAGTGTGAGATTTAGTAGGTAGTTGTGCTTCCCTTCTCTGAACACTTTCCTGAAGAGGCAGTCCAGTAGAACCAAAGCACTTGCTCTGAGAAAGTTTCAAATCCAGTTCGCCATCTTAAAACTAAGCAGTGGATGTTTCCAGAGGTGTGTATCCTCCTGCCTGCTACAAAGCCCTGTTGTGTCTTCAGTTCTGTCTGAATGCTGGGAGCATGTTGTGAAATCTTCTTGTATTTATTGCCTTCCTGCACTCTCCCACATTCTTAGTTACTGTCTGTATGTTTGCTAGTGGTGCAGTTTTGTTCTGCTTTAACCTTGTTTGAACCCTCAAGCCAGTCTGGGAAAACGTGACCATCACTCTTCTGAGCATCTACCTCTGGGACGTGGTCCCAGGGCTTTGACTTACAGGTAAGAAATCTTGTCATGCTCCCCTGAACTTGACTCAATGGCTGCAGTGGCCTGGCTGATTTATGGCTGTTTCTTCCTCTGTTTGATCTTAGCAAACAGACAGCTGTGATGTAGCAGCTTCATTCTACTCACCTGCTGGCACCTTCATGTTTGGTCTAATAGCTTGTTAACTGCTCTGAGGACAGGCACTGCCCTTCCTGGCTACTGTCTGGAGTGGTCTCTATGGCAACCACATCACATCTGGGACGATGCTCATTCTTCAAGGCTTTCCTTCTCCATTTTTCTCTGGTGGCTTCTGGGTAACCTGTAATGGTTGGAGCCCTGCCTCATCCTGCTGGGAAGCCACTGCTGATTAAAAGCCTAGAAAAGGAACATAACAAGACACACTGCTTTCTTCTGGTCTTGTTGCTTGTTCTGTGTTGCACTTGGTCCAGGCCTGCAGGGACCTGTCATCCCTTCTTTATCGTCTCTCTTTTTGGTGTTCCCCAGGTATTGTTCTCGGTCTTTCTCGGAAAGCTTTGACATGGTTTCTCCAGATCTCTCTGCTCATTGATACCATGCAGCAGTCCCATTGGAATCCTGGCATTCCATATGTTCTTTGTTTTCCTCATCCACCTTTGTTTAGTCAGTCATTCTTCTCTTCAGAAGTGACTCCCAAGCTCTCTGGTCTTCATCTGTGCCAAAGAGACCTGTGTCAAAGAGACTCATATAGACTGCTCAGATATAATATATGAAGAAAGAACTGATTTATGTGTGATAGGACTCTAGAGTGTTCAGTCTTCATATGGCATTCAGAGCCCAGCAATAACACTATTAATAATAGCAAATACTATTATACACAGTATTTATATACAGCACTATAATGTATAGCTTATTGTGATAAGCACTTTACATCTCTACAATAATCCTTTAAGATGAGTACTCTTATTGTCCCCATTGTACAGATGAGAAAACTGAGGCACATAAAGCTAAGAAATGCTGTCGAGCCCCAGCTATTAAATGGCAGAGCTAGAACTTGAACTGTGGCTCCAGAATTTATGCTCTTCAACCCTTTACTATACATTGGGCAGTGAGATTGTTCTCTGCACATGTGTTCCCACCACCAGTTCACTTCTGCAAGGCTAAATTGTACCCATCTACAATGCCAATATTAAATGCCACCTGCCTTATGAAACTACTTGCCTTCCTCTACATTCAAGATGTAAATTCATTGGTTCCTTCCACAAACATCAGAAGATAGTGATTAAGCTTATTTGTTCACCCATTCCAGTACCTTTTCAAGTTCTTTCAGTGTCACATGCTAAGTGCTGCGGCAATGATGATGAATAAAGAGCAAGTCGACCCCGTTCCCCTGTTCTTACCCTACCCACTTTTAGCAAAAGAACAAGACAACAAAATATAGACAGAGATAGCTTTATGCATATAAATATTAATATATCAGTAATATTTATATATCTCTAAGTTTGTCTATCAATTTATTGATCAACAGATATTAGGGGTTTTTCCTCCTGCCTATTTATATGATAAAGATCACCTCCTTAGCTTGATACCTAAGACCCTTCATGATCTGACCTTAGATTACTTAGGAATCTTATCTCAGATTCCTCTGCAGTCTCCATCTGCAGACTGAACACTCTAGAGTCCTATCATATGTAAATCAGAACAGGGGGTTTAGTGCTTGCCTCTGTTCTCTAGTCATCCACTCAAGACTTGGTCTCCCAGAAAATGTTTACTCACTGGAAACTATCCAGGCCCAACCACACCACCATGCTTTGGCTCAGCCTTTTTCTCTACTTGAAATTCCCTTTCCATATTTCTCATTTCATATTCTTTTCCAAACTCTTTCCAAACATCAAGTCTGGGTTCAAACGTCCCTTCTCTATGGAACATCCCAAACCATCTTATTCACACTCCCATCAGTAAGGAATTTGTTTAGCCTTCTGGGCTTCACAACATTGGCCATACCCTCTGTTACAGCATTACCTCCAAACCCAAGGCCAGCTGTCCATTACATGTTGTTCTCCCAATGGGGACTATGGACCCCTTGAAGATGAGGAATGGGACCTTTTTCTTGCTGAATTCAAAGAACTCAGCATAGTGACTAGTAGGTAGTTATCTTAGTCCATTTGGGTTACTATAACAAATACCAAAACTTAATAGCTTATAGAAAACAGAAATTTATTTCTCACAGTTCTAAAGGCTGGGAGTTCCAAGATCAAGGTTTCAGCAGATTTGGTGTCTGATGTGTGTCTACTTCCTGGCTCATAGATGTCAGCTTCTCACTGTGTCCTCACATGTCAGAAGGAATGAGGGGTCTCTCTGGGGCCTCTTTTACAAGGGAACTAATTCTATTCATAAGGGTCCCACTCCCATGAGCAAATTATGTCCCAAAGTCCCTGCCTCTTAACGTCATCACATTGGAAATTAGATTTTAACCTATGAGTTTGGGGGGTGCATACACATTCAGATCATAGGAGTGCTAGACTTCTATTGTATTATTTATTAATAAGAATAACTTTTAAAGTTTTTGATTGCCATCTGGATCAGGCATTCTGATAGGCCTCTTATTTATTTTGTTTTATCATCATAAGACTCTTAGGATGTAGATCATCATATGTACTATTGTTAACTCCATTTTACAGATGAGGCAGCTGAGTCTTAGAGACTATACAATACCTGCTCCATGCCACAGCCTCATAAATAGCAGAGTGTGACTGGATACCCTACACTTTTATGTTTGTTGAATTTATGTTTGTGTTTATCTGATTGGCAAAGTTGGGATACAAACCAATATGGTCCTGCCTCCTAGTACAGTGTCCTTTTTCCATTCCCCATTCATTCCAGATTATAGTAAATTTTATCCAAATCATTTAGCACATTTACTGTATATATGGTATGCCTAACAGGATCTGGGACCAGCCTCTGCCTTGTCATACTCAGTTATTTTGTTCTTATTATGTACTGTTCATTATTATACGTATAATATAAATTTGCTTTTTACAACAGCTATGTGAGTTAATTACTCCTTCCCATATCGCAGTTGAGAAAACTAAGCTCAGAGAGGTTAAGTGAATTTCTCAAGATCCTGTAGTGGAAAGTGCTAGAGCTGAGATTCAAATACAAGTCTACATAATGCTGAAGTCCACTGTCTTTCCACCAATCACATCATGACAGTTCCTCCATCATTCTCCAATAAAATGGCTTCTCAATTGTACTCCTGCCATCTCTCCCCATTATGCTGGCCCCATAACTCTGTCTAGCCCCAAGTGCAGAGCCTAGAATGAGGCTGAAGATGTGTTGGCACTCATGGGCAGGACCAGAGTTTTCTACAGCAAACACCTAGGCATACTCATAGGCCTAGGGTAACATTTACTGAGGCACCTAATATTTAATGTATGCTCCCTGTATGTACCTGACCTTGTGTATGCCACATAGGTATAGTATTACATTTCCTCCTCCTATCAAACCTGCAAGGTAGGTATGATTATTCCATTATGCAGAGGGGGAAACAGAGGCTCAGAGATGATAGTTTTCCAAAACTCTTCCAGTTTGCCTGACACCCGCACATTGTCTAGCCCTCCAGACAGCTTCAGAGAGGGTTTGAATCCCACAGAAGATAGCCTGGGAAGAACTTCATTGAAAAAGATGCAACCCAAAGCTGTACTCTGGAAAACTTCTCATGTAGCCAGGATAAGTATACTGAGAGCCCGTGAGCAGGTTATAATAGTTATGATTAGGTTTCCATGTACTTCTCAAAATCAGATGTGTAAATATAATCAAAAACATTTCTCTTTGCAGCACAGAATTCCAGCAGATTCTACCCGGTATCCTAGTTCTGAGAGAAGATAATAAATTAGCTCTAATTAGCTTTCCCACATGCTAAAGCAAGTTTCTCTTGTCACCACTTTGCAAACAGGAGAGAGGGAGGCTCCACTGGACTTCTAAGGAATGTGATCTGTGGTGATTAGAAGGGCAGCAGGCCTAGCTGGCATGTGACTTTGACATCTGTTGACTTGTGTGGCTGTGGACGAGCCATTTTTACCCTGGCCTCTATTTTTTTCTTATGTAAAATGAGGAGCTTAGACTAGGCTCCTTCTCGTCTTGCACAGGAAGAATCCATGACTCTACTGTCCTGGAGAATTTTCCAACTTAAAGTACCAACTTTGTGCATGCATAGAGTTGTTGAGTATTTACTATTTATCAGGCATTGACCTTCAAACTGGTGATACAAGGATGAACATGAACTTGTTTTTTGTCTGTAGGGAACTTCCATCCCAAAGTGAGAAAAATAGTAACAGCTACTCATTCCTACATGCCAGGAACTTAGCCATGCCCATTAAATACATGATCTCATTTAATCCCTGCAGGTAATTATTGTTACCCGCATTTTGCCCCCGAGGAAATACTCTCAGAGAGAAAGGATAAGTCACTTTTCCTTAGTGTTGCTGGCAGTAAAGGATGGAAAATAATTCCAATTCACAGTCTGATCTTTTATCTGCTAGATTATTTTACCTTGCTCAGAAAGAGTTGGATATTATAAAAGAAATAGCGATAACAAGTATTAGGGAGGCCAGGGGATGATGAGATGTATTCCATCTGGGTGATCAGGGATGGCTTTGGTTAAGATGGTGTTTGAACAGAATCTTGAAAGAAAAAAATCTTGAAGGCATCAAGATGCCTTCTGAAAACATGAGGATGGAAGGAGAAAAATAGTTTAGGTGGAAAAGTGAAGACACAGAGGTAAGGAAGGAAAGCACTGGGCACAGATAAGGAAGAGTGTGTTGTTCAGAGGGAGCCTAGCAGAACGTGAGCCTGGGCTCTATGCTACATTCATGCAAAGGGCATAGAGTACCTGCTATGTGTCAGGCACAGGGATAGCCTCTGGGAATAACACTGAGAACAATATAGAGTCCACATCCTCAAGGAACTCAGTACACTACTGCAGTGGTTGTCAACTGGGGGTAATTTTGACCCCCAGATGACCTTTGGAAACATCTAGAGATAGTTTTGGTTGTGCTGCAAAATATCCTAAAATACACAAGACGGCTCTCCACAACACATAATTATCTGTCCTAAAAGGTCAGTAACTCCAATGGAATGCCAGGACCAGGACAGCTCATGGGGAATTTTGTAGACCAGGCTGAGGAATTGCGCATGCCTTTTTCAGATCAGATGGCCTCTGGCAACCAAGGCAGTGGAAGGGACAACAGGAATATCTTTCCGTTGCAAATGACCTCCTATCACAAAAGAAATCAGTCTAGCTGCTTGAGCAATTTTGGTACAGGCCTGGGACATCCTAAAAATGCTCTTCTACCACCCCTGGTTCAAAACCACACAGAGCTTATGAGAATATATGGCCCCCACAAAAGGAAATGTCAGATGGCTTCTTCCTAATTAATCAAATTAATAGTGTCTCTGCAGAAATTCTGCACAGCTGAGGAATTTATTACAAATTACCTAATCGTTTGGTTCTCCCATGAAAAGTAAATAGACTGAACCGTGCCTAGCCCTTTACATCCTGAGCATTTCAGTGTACCACAGCTGGGCCAGA